GTCAGGCGTTTTTAGCCGAAAAAAACGACCATGTATAGTAAGGGGTTTTTCGCCGAAAATGACGACCATGTATAGTAAGGCGTTTTTAGCTGAAAAAAAACGACCATGTATAGTCAGGCGTTTTTAGCCGAAAAAAACGACCATGTATAGTAAGGGGTTTTTCGCCGAAAATGACGACCATGTATAGTAAGGCGTTTTTAGCTGAAAAAAAACGACCATGTATAGTCAGGCGTTTTTAGCCGAAAAAAACGACCATGTATAGTAAGGGGTTTTTCGCCGAAAATGACGACCATGTATAGTAAGGCGTTTTTAGCTGAAAAAAAACGACCATGTATAGTCAGGCGTTTTTAGCCGAAAAAAACGACCATGTATAGTAAGGGGTTTTTCGCCGAAAATGACGACCATGTATAGTAAGGCTCTTTTTGGCGAAAAAAAACCGACCATGTGTTGTAAGGCGTTTTTAGCCCAAAAAAAAAACGACCATGTATAGTCAGGCGTTTTTAGCCGAAAAAAACGACCATGTATAGTAAGGCGTTTTTTGCCGAAAAAAAACGACCATGGATAGTAAGGCGTTTTTTGCCGAAAAAAACGACCATGTATAGTAAAAGGCGTTTTTAGCCGAAAAAAACGACCATGTATCGTAAGGCGTTTTTAGCCCGAAAAAACGACATTGTATTGTAAGGCGTTTTTAGCTGAAAAAAAACGACCATGTATAGTCAGGCGTTTTTAGCCGAAAAAAACGACCACATATAGCAAGGCGTTTTTAGCCGAAAATAACGACCATGTATAGTAAAGAGTTTTTAGCCTAAAAAAAACGGCCATGTACAGTAAGCCGTTTTTAGCGGAAAAAAAACAACCATGAATAGTAAGGCGTTTTTTGCCGAAAAAAACGACCATGTATAGTAAAGAGTTTTTAGCCAAAAAAAAACGGCCATGTACAGTAAGACGTTTTTAGCGGAAAAAAAACAACCATGCATAGTAATGCGTTTTTAGCCGAAAAAAACGACCACATATAGCAAGGCGTTTTTAGCCGAAAATAACGACCATGTATAGTCAGGCGTTTTTAGCCGAAAAAAACGACCACATATAGCAAGGCGTTTTTAGTCTAAAAAACGACCATGTATAGTAAGGCGTTTTTAGCCGAAAAAAACAACCATGTATAGTAAGGCGTTTTTTGCGGAAAAAAAAACGACCATGTTTAGGAAGGCGTTTTTCGTGGAAAAAAACGACCATGTATAGGAAGGCGTTTTAGACGAAAAAAACGACCATGTCTAGTAAGGCGTTTTTAGCTGAAAAAAATGACCATGTATAGAAAGGCTCTTTTACACGAAAAAAACGACCATGTATAGTAAGGCGTTTTTAGCCGAAAAAAACGACCATTTACTGTCAGGCGTTTTTTGCCGAAAATAACGACCATGTATAGTCAGGTGTTTTTAGCCGAAAATAACGACCATGTATAGTCAGGTGTTTTTAGCCGAAAATAACGACCATGTATAGTCAGGTGTTTTTAGCCGAAAATAACGACCATGTATAGTCAGGTGTTTTTAGCCGAAAATAACGACCATGTATAGTCAGGTGTTTTTAGCCGAAAATAACGACCATGTATAGTCAGGTGTTTTTAGCCGAAAATAACGACCATGTATAGTCAGGTGTTTTTAGCCGAAAATAACGACCATGTATAGTCAGGTGTTTTTAGCCGAAAATAACGACCATGTATAGTCAGGTGTTTTTAGCCGAAAATAACGACCATGTATAGTCAGGTGTTTTTAGCCGAAAATAACGACCATGTATAGTCAGGTGTTTTTAGCCGAAAATAACGACCATGTATAGTCAGGTGTTTTTAGCCGAAAATAACGACCATGTATAGTCAGGTGTTTTTAGCCGAAAATAACGACCATGTATAGTCAGGCGTTTTTAGCCGAAAAAAACAACCATGTATAGTAAGGTGTTTTTAGCCGAAAAAAACGACCATTTACTGTCAGGCGTTTTTTGCCGAAAATAACGACCATGTATAGTAAGGCGTTTTTAGCCCAAAAAACCACCATGTATAGTCAGGCGTTTTAACCTGAAAAAAACGACCATGTATTGTAAGGTGTTTTTAGCCGAAAAAAACGACCATGTTTTGTAAAGCGTTTTTATCGGAAAAAAAAGACCATGTTTCATCAGGCGTTTTTAGCCGAAAAAAAAACGACCATTGTATAGCATGGGTGTCAAACGGATGTATGTCGCGTGGACTCCACACTACATACATCCGCTTGAGCACGCACAATGGCATTTTCTCCCCAACAACTGCTCTTGTTTAGTATGCGCTTCCTTTGGTCTTGAGGAGGAATGATCCTCACTCTAATGAACTTGGGCCTGCCACTTGAATGTAAAACAGGATTTAACCCGTCTTCAATGTCAGAGCCCCTCCCTGGGGCTGCTTCAGACATCTCACACACTCGTAGACGTGCGCATTGACACACACACACACACACACACACACACACACACACACACACCCCCACACACACCCTCACACACACACACACACACACACACACACACACACACACACCGCCATGCAACAGCGAGGCACGCCTGCCTATGATCTCTCATCTCATAAGTCGTGCACGCACAGACACACACACACACACACACACACACACACACACACACACACAAATTGTGTTTTTGTCTTCATTTTCAAACACATTTCGTCTTTGTTGAATCTATCAAGTCCCACCGTGTGTCTTTGTGTCAAGGTTGAATACTTTTCTTTCCCTACAAGAAATGTAACTCAGTACGATGCTTCATGGCTTGTTCTGTCTCATGTCCCCTCCAGGGAACAGCCGGTAGACAACTCGGATCTAATATTTCCACGACAGAAGCCGCCTTTCATATGCTGTCCCAAGTGATTTTTACTCGTTGCGTGTTTTATTTGAATTTGTGTGAATGCGATGACACGTCGCGTGCAGTTGTTGGGCAGCACAATAATTTTGCATAGTTAACCTTTGCTCCTCGCAGTCCATGAGTGTCACTACGTTTACTATCTAAAGTGGTTCAAGGTAATAAAATAAATACATAAAAACATAAATCAAGGTAAGCGGGGATAAAATGGGTGCACTGTACTTTTATTAAAGCAAACTAAATGTAAGTAATGTTCTCAAAATGTATGTTTAGTATTAATTAGAGTACTACTAAATTATCCTGACAGAAGAGAAATGTACATCCAACTGGAAAAGAATGTGTTTGACATCATTTTCTAAAATTATATATTTTCTTTTGATTGTATGGACTGATTTTCTTATAAAACAAAAATGCATCTGATATTTTTAAATTTAGAAAACAAATGTTAAAAAAAAACATTTTCTTATACTTGGTATTTAAAAATGGTGACACCGTGTTTATACCTGTTAAAAATCATCTCATAAAACCTTTTCTTCTTGGTCAGTATCGGAATTGTTTTTCTTTTTAATTACAAAGAATAATTTTTTTTGGTTCTATTATTATTACCATTATTATTGACTTAACTGTGTTTTATGTTGGCCCTGATGTGCAGCATTTTGTTGTTGTTGTTTTTTTAAGCGCTCTATAAAGTTAAGTTGAGTTCTCAGAAGAATGTTTATGGACAGCAAAATACCAGAATTGACAAACCAAACCTGTGGCAACTAATACATCAAAAAAATAACACACCAGAAAAGAGACTGATCTCCGCTACTGACTGGAATATTTTATTGTTATTGTCATCTGTATCACTGCATTTCCCCCCATTTTTTTTCTCTATACAGTTTTGTTCAATAAGCGGCTGGAGTATTCACAAGAATGCAAGGATAACATTAGATTCACAGTGATAGGCAAAGGGGTTAGCTAATTACTTCAATTAAAAACAACAGACACACACACACACACACACACACACACACACACACACACACACACACACACACACACACACGCGCGCGCACAGACACGCACTCTCCGGAATCTGTGTGCTCGCTCATGTGACAAGTGCACTCTGTCAGACATTGTTCACGTCTTCTGAATTTGTATATTTCACAGACAGCACAACTGAGATTTGGAGAAGGAAAACAAATAAAAAAAGGTATGGCATTTTTCTGACACCGCAGAAACAAAAAAAAGAACATCTGCGTAACTTCACATACTTATTTGCAGGCTTTCAAAGTGCTAAAGAATTCAAAGAGGCGTCATTTTTAGACTAGTAATCAAACTAGGTGATGATTTAAAGAATAACTGAAATCTCAACATATTTTTCACAGTTTTATAGCTGGGTACCCTTTTTTTTCAGTGAAAATGACTTGAAATCCCCCTCCCCAAGCACCCCCCCCACCACCCCTCCTACTCGAGTGAAACGCCACCACATGTAAAAATGACGGATGGGGCTTTATTCCCCAGTCGACTGACACTGGAAGTGTCTCCTGACCCGACTGTGACTTTAATGGCTGTCATTTTATGACCCGTTTTTATGCTCCGTTACTTCATCAATGACTATTTATTCCCGCGGCTGCACGGCGATACAGCTCGGATATTGCGATCGCTCTTGCATTGTTTTCTGTTTTAAGCTGTGTGAAGTGCTTCCAGTTTGAATTTTCAGTTAAGTGCTTTAAAAAAAAAAAAAAAAAAAAAGACTAATAATGAAGCGTTTCCTGTTGTTAAAATGATAATAAAATCAATTGTGATGATATTGTGCAACCGGTCAAATCTTCACAGTAAAAAATAGCCCAATTGTGGGTCAAAAGGGGACCAACCACGTCGTAGGGGTCAATTTGACCCAATTTGGGGGGTATTTTTGGACAAAACAATCCAACTTTTTGGGTCGTCTTGTTCAAAACAAGTTGGGTGATAGTCCCTTTATGACCCATTATTGGGACATTTTTGACCCCATTGTTTTCAGAGCATTTCCCTGTAAATGTTCCTCTCATTGCCTCACTAGCAGTTGGGTCAAACATAACCCAGTTTATTTCAAAAAGGATTTGACCCAATTTTGGGGGATATTTTTGATCAAAACAACACCCCTCCACCCCTAAAAGTCGTGTCAAAGTCCCTTTTCGACCCATAATTTGGGTTATTTTTAGACCAACTGCTTGTAGAGGATTTCCCTCGATCCTTTCATTGCCTCACTCTAAAACAGTTGTGTCAAAAATAAACAAATTTGGGGCAAAAAGAGACCAACAGCTCCCTGGGTCAACTCCATCCCACTTTTGAGTTTGTTGTTTTGTACGAATCAAACCCGCAATGCAATTTTTTTTAATACAAAAAAAAGTTTGAGTATTTTTGTCCCAACTGCTCTTCGAGTGCTTTATGTGGAAACAACACAAATAACAAAAATATTGCTTTCATACAGAAACAGCATGACGCACAATATACTTCGATGAATCCTCAAGAAAAAAGCATTTTGTTTCAATTACATTTCCTCCCTTACATACGATGGAATGTCTGGGCGCATTATTATTAATTATATTTTTGTCCCAACAATGTGCTTTTAATGAGTGACTCATTTTTTTTATAATGATTTTCAATTTCAATACAAAAATCACTTCCCTTTATTTTGAAGGAACCCCTAGATTCAAAGTGTCACCAAAAAAAGAGATTAATTATATAATACTGCAATAATAAAAACCCATTCCGACAAGTGTCCATCTTCTTTTTTTTTTCTTTCTATTGGTGAGAGTGTTAATTGGGTTAATTGGGACGACGGTTGACGGTGAGGTGGGGTTGCTGAGCTGAGGGTCATCATGGTTGTTGTCTCTATATACAATATGGCTTCTCTGAGTAGAAGAAACACAGAAGTGGTCCGTTGAAAGTCAGTTCACTATTTCGTTGGAAAAACTCTAGTGGGAGCTCCAACCGCGAGGCATCCTGTTTTTTTTTTTTTTTTTTGTAAGTTTTCGAGAGTCGCTGTCAGCATGTCCGGTGGCGAAATAAATGTTCCCCCAGCGGCGACCTGTCACACTTTTAACATTGCAGTCGTTCAAGTCCAATTAGCGACATCCTCAGAGGCTTAATGTCCTGACGTCGACGTCGATTTCATCATCTCAGTCCTCCTCGGAGCCGGCGGCCCCCCGCAATCCGTTCATACAGAACGGCAGTCCGGAGGGGAATGGGCTGTCCGAAGGGGAGAACCCGCTGAAGGGCGGCAGGCCTGCCAGTCGCTGCAGGTGGGGGAAGAAGGCCGGCGGGGGTCCCTTGTGGTGGTCCGAACGCAACTGCAGGCCGTCCCCGTGTCCGACCCCATGGTGGTGGGAGGGGGGCAGCTCGGGGGGAGCGTAGCGGATAGTGCTGGGGGCGTAGAGGCTCTGGGGGCCCTGTGGTCCCAGGGCAAGGGGATGGAAGAGTACCCGCCCCGCCGCACCCCCCGCGGCGAGTCTCTGGAGGAGCTCTAAGTCAGGGCCACCGCCCGGTCCGCCGCCCCGACCGACCGCCCCCGGGGCGGCCCGCTCCTCGCGTGGCAGTGGGGAAGACACGGGCATGACGGGAGACAAGGCCGGGGAGGGAGGGGTGAAGAGGCCCTTCGGCGGCGCTTCACTGCTGGACGAGGAGTCGGGTATCGGGGTGTTGGGACTGTCGCCGTTGAGGCTGCTGGAGGGGGTGTGCGCGTGAGACGGCTGCGGCTGGCTGCTGTGTGAGCCCCAGCGCCCCCCGGTGGCCAGGGCCTCGTGTTCCGTCTTGATGCTGGCGGACGGGGTCACCACGCTCTTCAGCTGCTGGATCACAGCTCGCCCATTGTGTACCCGCCCTCCCCTCTCACCTCTCGTTGGGGCGTCGGCACCCCTGCTCGGCTTCCCTCCGCTGTCTTCTTGTTTCAATTTGTCACCATCCCCCCCCTGCTCCCAGTCGGGCTCCTCGTCCTCCTCCTCGTCCTCGTCCTCGCCCTCGCTCTCGCTGGCCAGGTCCGAGGAGGCCGACACGCTCTCCTCTGTGTGCCTCAGCTCATCCAGACGGCGGCGGCTCTCAGGGGGGGCGCCCTCAGGCTCGGACCTCACCAGGCGCTTCCTCCTGTTCTCTGATTGGACAGCGGCAGTGGTGAACTTCTCTCGAGCTTTCGTGTCGGGGTCGCTCTTTCCCGCTGAGCTCTTTGCTGGCTGGGAGCCTGAGGTAGAAGGGAGTGTAATGGAACATTTGGTATCTTTCTTTCATTGTACAGTAACCTTCCCCTCCATCACGGGTTGCAAGTTCACGGTCCTGCTATTTTGATTGTTTTTATTTATTTTTTTTTATAGTTAATACATCTATTTTGGTGCTTGTAAAAATTGGGTGCAATTCCACTCTCATCTCTCAATGATTTAGTTTGAGACAGTGTGAAAGGGGAAGTCCTCCAGAACAGCCTAGTTTTTGGGTGAAAATTATTGAAACGTAATGCTGCTTTTTACGCCTACAGAAAGTGATCACTGTCGGTTCATTTATCATGGATGTCGTATTGATTATTGATGTATATCATGAAATTACAAATTAGGTTTGTTCGTTTAGAAAAAAAGCTGAAGCAGCAGATCACCACACGATTGCAATATTTTTTTTGTTTTCTGTCAATATATTAAATGTGTTTAAATTCAATATTTGTGTCTAGCGGCTATTTTTAGTAGCCTGTGGGACACACTGAAAATATTGACTACTACCACAACTAATAAATTGTTTGTCATTTTCTTACGGTATGCGGAAACACTCAGAAACTATTTACAACTAGAATAATAACAATTCTCATCATCATGGTGAAGACAGAATGCACAAAATGGTTGGGTCCACTTTCTGCTCTGTGTCATTGAGTCTCAAGTAACGTATAAAAAGGGTCAATTTCCAACAGATTGCTCTTGTTTTTGTTCCTTAGATGAGATTGGGCTGCCACTCAATGCAGGGGTGGACCTATTCGAGTGAAATATAGGGCCACGGACCATCCCAAAAATCCTGAAAACTCCTCCATTTTTAACCTTTAACAGAAAGCTGTGCGGTAAAAATTTTCAAAACTAACTATAATATATCAATTACACATACTGTAATTGACAAGCTGAAGCACTGAAGCCGACAAGTGCCATTTACAAAAAGCAAAGTCATTTGGCGCAGCCCTTGGAGGAAAAATACCATACAATGCAATACATCCTGATTTAAAGTAATCCTGAAAAACTTGAATTTGAAAAAAAAATATAAATCTACAGCACTAGCGAATTCATGTCTGTAATGAAGGAAACAAATGCAAAAAAGCCCGGAGTTACGCTGTGTTAAAATTCAACGCTGGCTACAGTATTATAAGATGTTGCAGCATCCTACCTCGGGCCTGCGGGGAGCTGTTTGTGGGAGGGGAGCTCACTCGAAGTCGTTCGGCTCTGACGCTCTCTGGCAGCTGCAGCAGATCCAGAGGAGTGTCGGGCAGCTCCGTTCGACTGGTGGGGTGAAGAAAAAAAATCCAAATTATAACTTAAACAGACTTAAGGGAATAATCACCCTTCGTCACAGCATCGAATAAGTACGCCGCCACACCGCAACATCAAACGTTGGCGCCCACCACAGCTACACGGTGTCACGTGCAAACAGACTCGCCCTCGAGAAATACACACAGAGCCCACCGATAAACAAGCCAGACTCCTCTCCAAAATGGAGGAGGCTGTTGGGGAAGTTAATGAGCTCTTGTAATTACAGCGCTTAATGAACTAAAACACTATTCAAGCCCCAAAATTCTGACATCCGTTTGTTGTAATTATACGGCCTCAGCCCAATTAGCATCAACATTCAGCCTACTCTTGTTTTTGTCCGACTGCTCAGCTGCCCTAACACGGTATTATGCACTTAACGTGTGTGTGTGTGTGTGTGTGTGTGCGTGTGTGTGTGTGTGTGTGTGTGTGTGTGTGTGTGTGTGCGTGTGTGCGTGTCGAACAAATAAATAAAAGGGGGAGAGCATATATTATTGAGGTTATGCGGTGGTCTAACATTTGTGCAATAAGTGTGTCACTAATAGTCTGTTATTAAACGTTGTGTAATTGATTTCAAAATGATTCCCTACTAGCAAAAGTGATTTTCTACATATTTATACTCAGCACACCACAGTTGAGACCTGTTAACATGAAGGTCTCATCCTAACTATAATATCAAAATAATATCAAGACAATTCCCCCAAATAAATAAATCAAAACAAAGATGGGTTTTGGTCCATAGAGAGGTTGTTATATAAGACCCTAAAGCATCACATGAATTGAAAAATAAATACATAGAAATTTCAAATATTGAAAAGAAATGTTCTACCCATACAACCAAAAAGTGTAAATATGTAAAAAAAAAAAAAGAAAATAAAGAAAATTCCTTTGTTGTATAACTTTTGTGAGACATCTTACATGAACACATTTCATACCATATCACCAGGCTCAACATGGGAAAATATAGTCATGCATTTTAAGATTTATAAAGAAAGGATTTTTAAAACCATTTACACGTGCATATAAAATCGAAATTTAATCCCTGCCTGCACTTTATAAATTAAAGAGAAAACAGTGTGCCCCTAGCGGATAATCCACGAATTGCATCTTATTAAAAATATTCATTCCGTGTCTTTTATGCATTTTTCCCATTTTTAAATGCGGGCCTGATCGAACCTCCTCGGGGGCTGATTCCGGCCCGCGGGCCGTATATTTGACACCGATGTTTTAACCCTTTCAGGGACAGCGGTTACTACCGTGGACAGTTTACCATGTTGTCAGGTGACAGGGTGCATGAAAGGGTTACAATTTCAAGTTCACGTTTATGCGCAATGCATGTTAATTGAATCATGATTTCAGTAGAGTGTTTTCCTATATTCAATACAAGTGCAGTGTGAATGTTACAGTGGCCTGCAATAACATTAAATATAGATTTTAGGAATAAAATCTCCCCGAAGAAAGCTTTTGTATTGTTGAAATAGATTATGCAGGTGATAAAACGCTGGGACCGCAGATGAGGGTATTTTCACATTTTTCACGATCGAATATCTGTCAGCGCTTAACCCATCAACTCTAATGGGCCCCGATGATGCCTTTTCTTTCATGTCAGAAACTTTTTGCAGGTATCCTCATCAGCTCTTGGAGTCAGTCAAACCTCATTTCATCATTCCTGCCTTCAAAGCCGGTGTGAACACAGCGTGGTGCTCCGCTTCGTTCCCGAAACTGACCTGAGGACGCAGTTGACCCAGATGACGTTGCGCTCGTGGGGGGCTTTGTGGTTTATGGACACGGTGGCGGTGGACTGAATCCACAGGTAGCCGCCTCTCTTCTGGAGCCAGCGGTAGTACCCCGTCACCACCTGGCCTTTCCTCAACACTGGGGAGAGCGGACGGGGAAAGGTGGGGGGGGGGGGGTTAAAAAAAGCCTTCAATATTTCGAACATATTAAGTCATGCTTTCAGCCTATGATTTTAACCGCTAAAAAGTATCATCCAGGGAAACAAGATGGTTTAATATTCTACACCGATACGACAAACTGAAACCTTATCTGATGCACTTTGGTTGTGTCTTCATATTGGATGTTGGATTGTTACATTGCAATATTTCTTTAGACGGGGGATTTCAAACACACACACACACACACACACACAAAAAGAAAAAAAAGGCGGGGGGGCAAACTAGAAATTGGATTGCACCTTTAGAATAGAACAATACAAAATGTATTGCAATGTAAGCATGTACGGTGGACATAAAAATCTTTTGGAGAGAGGAAATAGAAGGGAAACAATTGTGATAACGCGGTTGCACAAGTATACACACCCTCTTATAAATGGGATGCGGCCGTGTTTAGAATTCACTGATCACATTCAAATGGGATGATAAATGGGAGTCGGCGCACGTACCAGTCACTGTTTAAAGTGCGTCTGATTCATTTCAAATAACATTCAAATGTTCATGGTGTGCAATCGCATTATTTCAATCTGTTGTTTACTTTCCTCATCAAAATGTGTGTGTGCGTGTGTGTGTGTGTGTGTGTGTGTGTGTGTGTGTGTGTGTGTGTTTTCCATTGACTTTTACAGGTTAGAGGTCACATTAGCGGTGGAAATGATTTATCTTGATCTCATTTTTACATGACAAAAACTTGGCAGTTCATGTTTTATAACCACTGCATGCATAATTATAAACGATAAAGCTCCACAATGGAAGAAAAACTATTACAAGGAAAAAACATAAGTTCAAAAAAGGGGGGATAAAACAAAGAATTAGACTCTTTATGAGAACGGGCAAATGTGAACCGAAACACAACACTCTCAGACCCGCAAACCTGTCACATGTTAATCAGCTATTAGTCTTCAATCGTTGCTAAAAAAAACCCCACTGTTGATTGAATTTATTGTTGGTCAAAATATTATTCAGCTTTTTTCTGGATTTCAATATTTTTGATTATCATATTATGTTTTTCTTTCATCTACTTTTGTTTTCATCCATACAATTATTTGATGCATTCAACGTTACGTGAAAAGCAAAAGAAGCTCCATTTTCAATAGTGCTTTTCCCTCTCCCAGCTGCCTATTGGGTGACAGGCAGACAGACACCTTGGGCTGTTTGCACATACAGTCAAACACCCATTTATACTCATACTGATCCCAATGGACAGTTTAGACTGTCTTCAATTAACCGAACATGCATGTTGAGGGGAGGTGGGAGGAAGTACCCGAAAACACACACAACAACGGGAAGAGCATGCAAACTCCACAGAGGAAATCCCACAACTGAGATTCGCACGCAGAACCTAAGGTCTGTAAGACAGACGTGCACACCACTTGTACAGCGTGCTGCCCATGCGCACAGACGAACAGCTCCACATTTGCATGACCTTCTCGGTCGAGGTTATGACTAACATTTCATGGACCTGGCAGCAGAGGGCGCCAATGACATCACAACAAGAAGGATTCAACAGGCTCTCCTTGAAAGAAAAAGCCTGTGCGGGCTTGGAAGGACACTTACAGCCTTCGTGGCTCTGTCGCAGGTTCTCCAGATCCTCCACATAGATGAAGTGGTAACAGGTGCGTCCCACCACCTCTGCGGGCGTCAGGTCCATATAGTCGGATATCCTGCATTTGCACACAAGTCAGTCATGCAGATGTCCACATGACTAAGGGAACCATTCATCCGTCCATTTCTAAAGCGCTTGCACTTATTCGGGACTTTGGCTAAGGGCGGGCGACCACCCTGGACGAAGTGCCAGCCAATCACAGCTACAGAGACACAAACAGCCATTCACACCCATGAAAAATTTTGGAGTCAATTAGATGACGGATGGACAACACAATATGTATTTGGAAGAGAGCTGAACAAGTAATACAATTTAAACCAGCATTGCAATGTATTGGAGTACAATTTTCAAATTACAAAAGCTGCAATTTTGGGGATCAGCTCGTTTTACAAATGGCGTTAGGGATATATATATATATATATATATATATATAAAATAAAAATATTGCAATAAAATTATTCTTTCAAAATCATTCAGCACGAATTTGGAATGATGGAGAAAGCCCGTAAAAAAAATAAAATAAAATAAAAAAATAGGCAAGCATAAGGAGGACATTTTGACTCCACTAAGAGATGCTAATGTATTCTACTTATAGGTTAACTGCAACTGAACTGTACTTAACATTAAAAGAAAGATTGAAGCCACTGTAACGTTACACACAGTTTCAACATTGGATTCAGCGATCCTTTCACTTACCACTAGAGGGAGCTCACAACCCATTAGCAGTACTCGTGCCACACTTTGAAGAATCACTGTGCTAGCCACTCAGCCAAAGGGACGACCAAATAACGATGACACCTCACCTGTTCTCGCAGTATGTGACCTGCAGGTCCATGTTGACCCTGAAGACAAACATGTGGCTCTCCATGCGGACCTCATTGAGCGTGGAAGGGGGGAGTGTGTGAGCTAGCGCCACCATCCCCATGGGCCGGGGCATTGAACGCGCTGTTCCGGGGACGATTGCGGGCCGGTAGCGTATTCTCCCGGTCACGTGGATCACCTAAAGATTAAAACACACACACACACACACACACACACACACACACACACACACACACACACACACACACACACACACAAAACGTTAAGATGATTGGATACAAACTAGTGAATAGAATCCCATTGAAGACAAAGCTCTGGCTTTGCGCCGCAATAAAAGGCAGCGCGCAGCTATTCAGTGTGAAATAAGGTCAAAGCAATAAAACACAGTGAAAACGACCATCTTGACACTGCTGTGAAACACTGGCAGAGCAAAACAAAGTGACAAGGTGCTGCTTGTTATTCTTTCATGCAAAAAACAAGGACGTGTGGGACATAGATGGCACTAGGTACACCTGCGCAATCTAATGACATCCCCAAAACACATACAAATGCTTAGTTTTGACTTTTTAATGTTCTCTCTGTGCTCACCTGAATTTTCTTCTGGTACCTGGTAAAAACATGCATGCTAACTTCACTGAAATCTCTACATCATCCGTAGAGGTGAATGTGTGCTTGCCGTTATGCACCCTGCAACTGACTGGCAATTAATCCAGGTTGCGCCTCACCTGTTGCCCAATGTCGACTTGGATGGGCTCCAGCTCCGTGCGATAGGAAATGGATCTATAAATTGCACTGGCTTATAATTGCAGGGTCAAGACCCTGAAATACCCGCAGGTCAAGGGTTACTGTGTCACCACTGTATTACAGTAAAATACTGTAAGCAGTTTTTTTCTGCAGGTGCACCAGTTCTTGGCAGAGAGCATTTTGATTCAAATTGGTTCATTCAATTCATGTTCTTTGTGTTCTTTTTTTTTTTTTAATTGGTTTTTAAGTTTGGCCACCTTGACTCTATAAATTGAACATATTCAGACTCTGATATCGCTGTCAAATATCATCAGAATATCTTCGAATTATTTTGTGCTTATTCAGAATCATATTGCATTTTGTCCCTGGTTTACTTCATGTGTTATGTTTGGGAGATCCAGAGATCGGAAACCAGCTTTCTACTTTGGGTCTTGACTTTGGGAACCCTTGATTGAAGGCAAACATGTAAAAGTGATCTGGCAAAACACATAGTGTAAGGTGAAATTAATGAAAAGTCAATATCGTATTGTAAGGTGATGCACTTGGCCAAGTCACAGATGCTGTCGTGGTACATCTGCCTGGAGAGGAGACACAAGGGCTCTCAGAAAGGAGACTATCACTGTTTTTTTGGCTAGTTACTGAACTCTGTTTACCCACAAAACTAAAAAGCGGTTTGGTTTACGTCAAAGGATGTAATGTTGGTGTTTGAGGCGTCGATGGCTGCATATGGACGGATGCTCACAGCTGCAACCTACGTGACTGTTTCCTTAGAGTCATTCAGTAAGTTGGTTGCTTCCCCTGTGTGTTAATTGCTTGTGCGTTCCAAAAATACAAAATCAAACCACAAACATTTCGTTTTTGGCAATTCTTCATCATGAACAAGTCACGCAGGCTATTTTTGTTTTCCTTAGTTAAGGCCATTGCATTTTCCTTGTGCCAGTATGTATAGAACAACATAAGGTATCCTATTCATTTTAACGGAGCAGTATTTGGTAATAAAAGCAAGATGCATGATTTTTCATTTGGCCCAAAAGCATACAAATAAATGAATACCTCTACTGTGCAATATTTTCTTTTGTAATTTTTTTTTTTTCCGGATTGGAAGTCATAGTGTACCTAATGAAGTTTCCAGTGTGCTGTACTCGATGTAGAAAATTAAGAGTGACCTTGTATCCCGAGGATTTGACGTGTAGCCCTCTCTTGGTGAGCGTGGACTTCATACGAATGAAGAAACCGCGGTCGGGAGGTTCATCAGCGGGAGAGTGAGGACTGGATGGCGCTGCTGAGGATTACAGAGCGCGAGATTAATCACGGCTGTTCATCTCGTGCGCTCGCAGTCATTACCGTACCGCTGGGCTCGGGCGTGCCGGCCAGGGAAGAGGCGGAGGCCGAGCTGGAGGGAGCGCTCTCTGGGCCCACTTGGCAGCCGGCCTCTGCTCGCAGGTGGGGCCTGATCCCCAGCCGCTCGGCCATTTCCACGTGGTCGGCCGGGTGGATGTAGTCGAACACGCTACTGCCCGTGAGCTCCACCTGAGGGCGGACACACACACACACACACACACACACACTTGTTGACAAAAAACAAACCAAAACCACACACTGAACACACACCCACCAAGAAAAATCAATATGTGTTATGACAGGAAAATGAAAACCTTGCTGTGGGTTACAATTTCAACAAGGAGTGTGGGCGCTTGTAAGACATTCCCCCCATACACACACGTTCCAAATCTCACAGGAGCAAGTGACGCCAGTAGGACTCAAATAACCCAGCGAGATAAAAATCAATTGTATGTCCTGATTAAAAACGGTTGAACTCTAAATATCTCTGGAGGTCGCATCACTATTCTTTTTCTTCCTCGCCCGTGTTCCACCCCGCTCCTTCATTTAGTCGCCGCCAGCAGTCCATCCCGGCGGGCATAAAGAGCTCAAAGCACCCGGCGTGATCCCATCATCACAATACATCATAGTCAAATCTCCAATCATTTAAAGGCAATAATGGCGCCGCTCTTGCATGGCATCCATAAAAGCAGCACAATCGGAGCAGGTGCGACTCAGCCCGATGCTGAACGTGTAAATGAATGTGTGTGTGTGTGTGTGTGTGTGTGTGTGTGTGTGTGTGTGTGTGTGTTGGATTTACATGCAGTTTCTATTACATTTGTGAAGGAGTATGTGTGCGCGTGTGATTGTGTGTGCCAATAGCATTCCATCTGATAACGTTGTGGCTGGAGCAGCCTCCCACCCCTGTCTGTAGGACA